GTAGAGTTGCTGAACTTATCTGCAATACCTTGGCGACTTGCTCTACTTACATGTGCCACATATGCGACCGCTGGTGCAACTGGGTTGGGCGAATATCGTGGCGCAGACACCCCACCTCCGGAAGCGGAGGCAACAGAAAGCGTGTCGGGCAGGATGATGAACGACGAAGAAATGGCTGGCGACGATGGAGGACAGAGTAGGGCATGAACACTAGAGCGGTGCGGAGACACCAAGACGAGAGCGGCCACCAGAGTTAGGGTTGGGCAGCAACACATACAACGTGTCGAGGGCGATGGTTGTGCCACGGCCAACAAACATCAGGGAGAGAGGACACTCCATCGAGGATGTGGCACGGTTATCGAAGCTAGGGTTGGGCGGCAGAGATTTGCTGCTACAAAGCACAGTTGAGGTCGAAGATCGTGACTTGCGAGGGGCAGGACCTCATGACATGCGAGGGGCAGAATGTACGTGATGATGATTTTACTTTGGCACACCATTAAGTCTGTGCCGTTCGATTGGTGACAGACCATCCAAGGAATAGATAATATGGGATTTAATTACATGGATTACATCATATGACAATGGTTGTCCTGTTACAATAAGTTGGATGTCCCTAAAAAATGTAAGCTGCTTCTTTATAAATAGTAGAGATAGAGATAATTTTGTACCCATCCTCTCTCACCTGATATCAGGAGTCTCGTGTGCTCACGGAAGAGGAGAGATGGTTGCGTAGAACTCTGAAGCACATGGTACTTGGATTAGCTTCCCTGGAACGAATGATTGTGAGACAACGGTCGCGGTTGAGATGGCTGCAGGAGGGAGATGCCAACACCAAGCTCTTTCACCTGGTGGCCAATGGACGAAAGCTGAAAAACTTCATTCGTGCAATCTCCGTGGCAGGAACCACCATCACGGACCAAGCGGCCAAAGAGGAGGCTTTTTTCGAGGCATACAGTGAACTGCTGGGGAGTTGTGGGTCACGTGAGCACACATTAGACTTGGACTATCTGGGCATTGAGCCAATCGATCCGGCTGACCAAGATTTGGTCTTCTAGGAAGAGGAGATTTGGAAAGTGGTGAAGGACATGCCCTCGGATCGCGTGCCCAGGCCGGACAAGTTCATTGGTATTTTCTTTCAGAGAGCATGGGTGATTGTGAAAGGTGACGTGATGGCAGCGTTGAACAAGCTATTCCTCAACAATGGGAGAGGACTTGGAAGGTTATATCAGGCCCTTATCACCCTGATCCCTAAAAAGCCGGAGGCTTGCCATATCAACGACTTTAGGCCGATCTGTCTGGTTCATAGCATTCCGAAGTTAGCATCAAAACTGCTTGCATCTCGGCTATGCCCGTGCATGGGAGAGTTGGTGCATGCAATCCAATCGACGTTCATTAGGGGCTGAAATATCCATGATAACTTCTTGCCGGTCAGGCAACTTGCGATAAATCTTCACAAAAGGAAGACGAAGGGAGTGATGCTGAAGCTGGATATCTCGCGCGCCTTCGACTCTTTGTCCTAGCTGTTCTTATTTGAAGTGTTGCGCGCCAAGGGTTTCTCGAGCACTTGGAGATCATGGATTGCTACTCTGCTCAGGACGGCAAGTTCGAAAGTGGTAGTTAACGGATGTGCTGGTAGGAAGTTTATGCATGCATGTGGACTGAGGCAGGGGGACTCCATCCCGCCCTTGCTCTTCGTCATTGCGATGGATGTTCTCACTGCTATGGTAATGAAGGCCCAGGAGATGAAGGCAATCAGCAAAATCCCCAGCTGCGCTCTGATTCAAAGGCTCTCTCTATATGTTGATGATGTCGTTATGTTCATAAGGCCATGGAGATCGGATCTGTGGTTTGTTCAGGAGGCACTCAGAATCTTCGGGGAGGCATCGGGTCTCAAGGTTGACTTCGCCTAATCCTTGGCCATTATGATTAGATCGGAGGATGCAGAGGAGGAACTGGTGGCAGGCCCTACCATGGAAATTGGAGACTTTCCCCATCAGGTACCTGGGGCTGCAGCTGGGGATCAAACAACTCTTGCGATCGGAATGGCGGCCTATTGTGGATAACGTGCTAAAGATGATGCCAGGCTGACAGAGAGGCCTTGTAACCAGGCCCGGGCGCCTCATTCTGGTGAACCAGGTTGTTCGTGTTAGGCCCACTCATCACCTGATCGTAGCGGAAGCCCCGAAGTGGGCGCTGGAGAGAGTGGACAGGGGCTGTCGCGCGTTCTTCTAGGCAGGGACGAAAGAGATTCAGGGCGGCAAATGCGCAGTTGCGTGGAAATGGGTATGCCGGCCCAAACAGCTGGGAGGTCTAGGCGTGGTGGATCTATACAAACAGGGGATAGCTCTCAGATTAAGGTGGGAGTGGTTGAAGCGCACGGACAGCTCGCGGCCTTGGCAAGGTCTCAACTACGACACAGACAAGCAAGTTATGATGGCTTTCGACAGTTTGGTCAGATGGGAAGTTGGGGAAGGCTCTCGGATTCTGTTCTGGAGAGATCGTTGGGTCAACGATTCATGCGTGAAGGAGATTGCCCCGTTACTTGTCAAGAAGGTCCGACAACAGGTGGTTAACAGGAGGAAGGTTAAGGAGGCCCTACATTTACATGCCTGGACACAAGATATTGTGGGTGAGATGAATACAGAGGAGCTTTTGCAGTTCATCCGACTGTGGGAAGTCTTGGTGCAAATGGAGCTTGTCCCCGACACCGAGGATACCCCGATCTGGCAATGGGATGCGAGCGACAAGTACTCGGCAAAATCTGCTTACAAAATGATGTGCGAAGGGGGAGTCCGATTCCAATGTGCCTCGGCTGTCTAGCGTAGTTGGGCCACACTCACTTGTAAACTCTTCATGTGGCTTGCCCTTCAATACAGAGTATGGACATCGGATCGCCGACAGAGACATGGACTGCAAGACCATAGCTCGTCTTGCTTCCTATGCGACCATTAGGAAGACAAGGTGGATGATATCCTCCTGCAATGTGTTTACGCGAGACAAGTGTGGTTTCTGTGCTTCAGGCGGATTGGCATCGACCTAGGATTGCTACCGACCACGGAAGACACGTTAGGAGACTAGTGGGTGGTTGCCAGAAAACGCATCGACAAGAGATGCCGGAGAGGATTCGATATACTCTGCACGTCCGTCTGTTGGAACCTTTGGAAACAGAGGAACGACAGGGTATTTCACAACAACAACATCGTCAATGAATGAGGGGCGGCCGATTTAATTCATCAAGAGATCATGCTCTGGGCATCGACGACAGGAAGAGGAGAGCAATATGGTATAGAGTAAGGGCCGAGCCGGCAAAATTGGAGGCCCCGTGCGAAATTCTAAAATGGGCCTTATCTCACTAAAAATCACTACATAAACAGAAGTATAATAATACAAAGACTATAATATCTTACATAACAATGGGAAATATCGTTCTAAAAAAAACAATTGGAAATATCAAGAATCATACCTATTCTTGGTTGTATAATCTTCACTTAAACAACATCATTATTTTTAGTATTCTTCTCAATACTAGACACCTAATAGTTCAAAAGAATAAACTACACGATTTTAGCAGAAGTAAATAGTGGGCTGAAATTAGAACTCAAAATCAAGGGCTCACGGGATCACCGGTTATTGACGCGATGACGCTTAAACATCGGAGATCGAGAGATAGTCTCAATTTTCCTTGCCTTCAGGTGAATCAGGTCCTCCATGTCGGTTGTCGTTCGGCCGCTCTTGGTCATGCCCTCGGTCCTCCAGACTCCTAAAAAGGAGTTGCCGCGTTGGAACGGAACCGCTCATCTTGACTGGGGATTCGTGAGAAGGAAGGAGGACTGGAGTCTAGTGGAACCCTAACCTGCTGCCGTGCCATGTCGATGGCCGCCAGACCAAAAGAGGAAGAGGCGCCTCGTCGCTTCGCTCGTCTCGATCGATCGCTGGACGAGGCATACGCCCCGAACGGAACATGGCCAAATGGAAGACGGAAGAGGCCCATCTACATAGGTTAACAGGGGCCAGATGGAAGACATAAGAAGCCAGACAACATAGGCCCAGATACTGTTTAGAGGAGTACCGCTACGTAAAAAATGTGAGGCCCTGAAAGGGGGGGGGGGCTGTGCGGGCGCACAGGTTGCACCCCCTGGGTTCGGGCCTGTATAGAGTAGTAGCCTAGTGTGTGGAGTGGTGGGGTGGATGTGCCTGCCATGTGCGGCGGTGCATATCGTTTGTATTTCTTGTGTATAACCCTCTCTTTTCTATAAAACTCTAAAAAAAGCTTTAACTGGCGGTGTTTTTTGCTGCCACCGTTTATTAGATTTTTGCCGTGCTACCATTGGCGTCAAGTTTTGCTACAACCGAAATCAACAGTTGGAAAAAAAGCTTCAACTGGCGGTGTTTTTTGCTGCCACCGTTGATGAATTTTGCTACAACCTTTAATCAGGGGGTCCGGCGGGGGCGCTGGACTGCGAGCGGCGGGGCGCGCGACTGCAAGCTGCCGGAGCTGCAACCGGCGACTGGTGTTGCCGGAGCCGCTACCATCACCAGCGAGGGGAGCTGCAACCCAGGGGCGAAGTTTTTGCTGCATGTAGATCCCGGCGAGAAACATGAGAGAAGATGGCGGAGACCGGCGGCGAGCGCGGCGACCGACGGCGAGCGCGGCGACCAGTAGCGGGGGCGGCGGAGAGAGAGGTCCAGGTGACGGGGTGACGGCCGACGGCCGGGAGAGGAAAGGAAGAAAGAGAGGGGAAGTCAACGCGGGGAATCGGACGGCTCCTAATTACGCGCATCAAACGGCTAGGGCTGGACCGGCTGAAACTGTTCGGCCGGCGCACCGGCGCCTAGCATCGCCCTAGAAATAATGAGGTACACAACTTAAACAAAAAACATTTGTAGGTAAACACGTAAAAATTCGAATTCGCGAACTGTGGTGAACCTCCTACATCGCGTAGCCAAAATGTCGAGTGAACTGTGAACCTCTCGAGTTATCCCAAGTCGCGAACGACACGATGGCGCTTAGCCACCTCCGCCATGCGCCGCTCGCTCTCCGCCTCGCGCTCCCGTCCATCGCCTGCTCCTCTCCCGCCACCCGCCGCCTCTTACTCTTTGCGCCGGCTCGCCCGTGGCGCCTCCTCTCTACCGCCTCGAAGCCGCGCTCGCTCGCCACCTCCGCCGCCGCCGAGGCCGACAACACCAGCGTGGGCACCGACGGCTTCTTCGCCGAGGACAGCACGTCCTGGAAGTCCCTCGGCATCTCCGACCGCCTCGCGTCCGCCTTGCACGGCACTGGGCTCGAGAGACCCTCGCTGGTCCAGGTAACTCTTGTTGCACCTCGCCGCTGCCGGTCTCTGCACAGCGCGTGCTCGACGAAATGCCTGAGCCCGCGTTGCAATGTTTTCATATACCTTTTCAGCGTCAGCTTTTCAGTTGGTAGATCGAACCTCCTATATGTGTCTTCATCTACAGTTGCCGTATAGGGATGATTTAGCCTGGTCTCAGTTCATGTGAAGTGATCGAGCAGTCTGAGCTTGTATTCTTCGAGTCCCAATGTTAAATAACCTATCAGTCCACTCCCTGTCTCTTGGAAACACGGAAGTCCTTTCTAGTGCAGAATTCATGTGCGCTGCTAGCTGTTGTGAAGATTTTAGCTTTCTACATCACATGCCTAAACTATATGTGGTGATTAGTTTGATAAGTAGCTGTGGATGCCCCCTACCTGTTCTTGCTCGTGACGGATGTCCTCCAACAGCATATCAAGTAGGATGGAGTGATGATGCACCCTCTGGTTGATGGCACCTCACCGCTTGCCCTTCAGTACGCCAATGATACCCTCATCATCATGCGAACTGGGTTGGGTGTGGTTAGGCGCCTAAAGGACATCTTGGACGACTTTGCGGTCGCGACGGGGCTGATCATCAATTTTCACAAGAGCATGGTGGTGCCCATGCATGTTCAGGAGGACGACCTACACGACATGGTTCAGGTGCTGGGCTGCGGCGTTGGGAGCTTTCCTCAAGTCTACCTCGGTCTGCCGCTCTCCAACCACAAGCTCTCAATGGACGACTTCTTCCAGCTCATCGCCAAGGCCGAGCGCTACCTCTCCGGCTGGTGAGCGCAACCGCTCTCCTTCGGAGGTCGCCTGGTGCTGCTCAATGCTGTGCTGGATGCGTTGCCCACCTACGCCATGGCGGCGATGGGGCTCCCTCCGTCGGTTCTCCATGCAATCGACGCCCTGCGTCGCTCCTTCCTTTGGACCGCGTCGGGATCCCAATGCCTGGTGGCCTGGGATAGGGTGGTCCGCCCCAAGGAGGAAGGCGGGCTCGGAGTGTGTGCACTGCGGGTCCAAAACCGCTTCCTCCAGATGAAGCTGCTATATCGCCTACACTCGCGTCAGGACGTGCCCTGGGCCCGCTGGGTGTGGACCGAGCTCGGACGCTCGCTGCTAACCCTGGTGTTGGCGTCCTCTCTCCCAGGCCCTCACTGGTCCTCCCTGGACCAGCTCATGCCGGTGTACAGAGCGATATCCCGTGTCTCCATCGGCGGCAGGTGCACCACCGCGTTCTGGCTGGACTCGTGGCTGCCCGGCGGTGCTCTGTCTGTGAAGATGAGCTCGCTTTTCTCCCACACCACCATGCCCGCGGTTTCCGTCGCCCATGTCGTCGCATTTGGCCCCGATAGCGTGCTTGTACCCCGTTTGAACCACGCCGGCGCCCTGGAGCGCGGCGCCCTGCTGCTCATCCTTCAGGAAGTGGGCCTGTCGGCAGCACCCCATGAGCGGACCCTTCGCCGTGGCTGCGGGAAGGGCGCGTTGCTCTCCTTGGCCGGCGTCTACCAGCTCTGTCACTTTGGTGGAGTGCAGGTGCCCTTCATCGACTTCATGTGGAAGAACTACGCCCCCAGCCAGGTCCGTTTCTTCGCCTGGCTCCTGGTTCAGGCTCAGATACACACAAGAGACGTGCTCCTGCGGAAGCACATCATCGCGTCGGCAGGCGCTGGCTGTCCCCTCTGCGCTTCGCCCCTCGAGACGGCTGATCATCTCATCTTCAGCTGCCCCTTTGCTCGTCGGTTCTGGGAATTTGTAGGTCTGAATCAACCGGATGTTGCCTCCGTCAGGTCGCTCCACCTGCTGTCTCCCCCATGCTCGGTGCCAATGCGAACGGGACCCACCTTTCTGCTACTTTGCTGCTGGCAATTGTGGAAGCGTCGGCAACACGGTTGTCTTCCAGGGTGTGCCGTCATCGATCCCCCGGCTGCTGAAACCCTGCAGGGAAGACGCCGTGCTGTGGAGGGTGCGGCTGCCTGTAGCTCTCAAGCCAGCAGCTGATGCCTGGTTAGCCTGCTTTGCATGCTCTCTGCCTGCCTAGCTTAGGCCCGATCTTGTGTTCCCACCTCTCTCTACCCCCGTCTCTATTCCCATGTTATACATGCTGCTCATCTGGGCGTTTGGCCCCCTTTTAATAATGATAAAAAAAAGTAGCTGTGGATGAGAAAATTCAGGCGTTGTAGCTCCTTGTAGGCCTCTTTTAAGATTAAGACGTCGTAATCGAATCAATTGCTTGTCTTTGCAAAATTACTGACATAGTCCTTCTACAAAATTACTGACAACAATTTAGCTAGATGAAATTGGATTCAGTGTTTTATTGTGCCCCTTCTCCAGTTTGCGTGTCTGGTGCTAATGTACTGTTCTTGCTGGAACTTGTGTGCTAGTAGAGTTCCATATATTATTCTATATTGCTTTTGTTAGAGCATTGTGTTGCGACAAATGAATACTTTCCTAAAAATGTCAACTGCTGCAATGCAGGCAGCTTGTATACCACATGTTCTTACGGCGAACGATGTAATTGTTGCGGCAGAGACTGGCAGTGGCAAAACACATGGTTACCTGGTTCCACTGATTGAAAAACTGTGCACCAAATCTTCCTCCACAGAAGATGGTGATTCTGAAAACATTGCTGTGAGAACAGATAACATCGTGTTGGTTTTCTGTCCTAATGTCATGCTGTGTGAGCAAGTTGTTTCAATGGCTAATTCATTACTGGATGTATCTGGTGAACCACTTAAGCGCGCTGTTGCAGTTTGTGGGCCAAAGGTATGGTCTGCCTTTCTGTCATATATGATACAGTACTTGATAGCATGGTAAACTCGTCACATCTTCTTGTTTTATGTATGGATAATATGAGACTACTTACGTCACATTCTACAACTGAATGTCTGTTTCAATACTTCATCATTTCTGTAGTGGTATATTCCCCAATTTACACTTTGGGTCTAAGGTCTTAACTAAACATGGGTCTTTAGTTATGTTCATATTTCTAAAACACTGTTACATTAATAAAACATATTCTGGCACAACATCTGCTTATTTTATGTTTTTTGATTTATATTGTATCTTCACAGGGTTGGCCTGCAGTTCGCCCAGATATTCTTGTAGCCACTCCAGCCGCTCTTTTGAATTATCTATTCGATTATGACCCAGAGAGGAGGCGGAGGGAGAAGTTCCTACGCAGTGTAAAATACATCGTAAGTACTCTAGTGGGACTTTTTTTGTGTGTGCAGACATCAGGTTGCCCTTTTTAGACATCTTTGGCATAGCCAGATTAGAAATCTTGTTGTTCCATCCTATCTTTTATTTAATCTTGAGTTGCTGGATATACTTGGCAAGGTTAGGATAGAATTTTGTGCTTTCCTGCAACTTGGAGAAGAAAGCATTTTGAATGGTTTCAACTCTCAAGTTAAGCTGTAATTTCCTGTGTATTTTTTTCTTGTTTCTTATCATTTTCTGCATTTGCATTTCTGTTGGCCTTTCTGTCTTATAGCAAGTGTTTGAATTACAGTCTTTGACCTTGAGACAGGGAGTCCTAAAACTAGCTGATTTTGAACAGGTGTTTGATGAGGCAGACATGCTACTTTGCGGAAGTTTTGAAAATCAGATCATTCGTCTCATCCACATGCTGCGGTTTGACGAGAAGTTACTTTCAAGGGCGGAAGATTCTGGAAAAGAAGTACCGCTCGAAGGTTCTGATGAATATCATGAGGATTCGGGTTCTGAGAGTGCTGAAGTTAGTGATATTGATGATGAAAATGAAGATGGTCATGTTCAAGATGGAGCAGTCAAGGTGGAGAATGCTCCTGTAGGAGCACGCAGGGATTGGAGAAGGGTTAGAAAAGTTTATAGGCGCAGCAAGCAATATATCTTTGTTGCTGCCACCCTCCCTCAGAGTGGAAAAAAGACTGCTGGTGGTGTGCTGAAACGTATGTTTCCTAGTGCTGTGTGGGTTAGTGGTGCTTATCTGCACCGTCACAACCCTAGGTATGCACTATGTCTTACAATAAGCTAGTGTTCTTCCGCTTGGAGAGATTTCTCACTATTGCCGGGTTTGTTAGTCGCAGTTTTTTCCAAAAATCTCATATTTGTTTCTTATTGTACCTTCCTATTCGCACCTTCACTACATTTGATACACAGTGTACCATATATGCAGACTGGAGAGAAGATGGATAGAGGTTACTACTGATACACAAGTTGATGCGCTTCTGGATGCAGTAAAGTATGGCCTGAAGAGTGAAGTTGACACAGAACTTGGTCCAAATCGAACTATGGTGTTCACGAACACTGTCGACGCTGCTAATTCGGTCTCTGACATATTGCGGAGAGTTGGTATTCCATGCATCTTGTACCACCGTGAGAGCTCCCTGGAGGAAAGGACAGCCAATTTACAATCTTTCCGGGAGAATGGTGGCGTGCTCGTCTGCACTGATGCTGCCGCTCGTGGGCTTGACGTGCCAAATGTATCACATGTTATTCAGGTACCGTTCGACCTCGCCTCTTGAAATGTCTGCATGTCTGGCGCTGCACAGCTGTTGCCTGTCTGTCACAGGTAACATTGAACTTCCTATCGTATCTACTTGTGGTGTCAGCACAATACTTCAAAATCTGTACACATGATGGCGCAAAAAGTCATGCATTATGCACAGCTGCTATATATGTGGAATACTAGTATTCTTAGAAAAATGTTTATAGTTATTACTACTATGAAGTCTAAACCCTACGTTAAGATACTCATGCTCCTTTGCATCATCTCATCAGAAGTTCTTTTTAACGCTTCTACCTATACCTGCAGGCGGAGTTTGCTGCTTGCGCTGTCGACTTTTTGCACAGGGTGGGTCGCACAGCTAGAGCTGGCCAATCTGGAATAGTGACTAGCCTATATACAGATGCAAACCGTGATCTCGTGAGAGCAGTTCGTCAAGCGGAGGAGCTGGCCCAGCCAGTGGTAAGACTCTTCTCTGTTCTACTCATCATCATGTCACGCAGTGTTACTTCGTGTTGTACGGAAATTCTTACAGAAAATAACCTTTTTTCTTGGTATAATCAGGAGAGGGCGTTCAGTAGAAAAAGAAGTTTCCGCAACAAGTTGAAGAAACAAGCTCGACTGCGCGAACCTGCAACGTTGCTGTCTTGATTTATGACTTTTCTCGCCTTTGATGTGTAGAAACAAGGAGTTACTCACAGTCTTGTGTTTTTCTAGTGGCCTAGTTCTGCCATTTCATTTTGTACTGTTATAAGATTCAAGACATGTTCAAGTGCAATTTTCTTTTCTCAATCTGACCACACATGCCTAAGAGTTGGGTATCTTTTTTGTGTAAGTGTCAAAAAAACATTTTACATTATGAGACGGAGGGAGTATCATATTATGATGTAAGAGATGAGCAAAATTGTATGTAAAACTGATTGGACCTTGTTTGCCACCATCCAGCCGTGTTGAGAACAATCAGCCTTGTAGTAGCTGACAGATAAGCTTGCTGACAACTATTCAACATGCCTGGTGGTAAAGATAATATGTAAAACCTATATATGTAAAAAATATTGAAACTTCCCCAAAAGAATAACCTATCGAGCTGTCGCTCTCGAAAAAAGATGACACATACACTTTATACAGTCACGCTAAAAAGGTGTTATGTCATCTGTCCACCGCGCCACCCGCATGCGGTTACAGGTTTTTCCATGCCACGCTATTTGTTGTCCACGTAACGCGACCTAAAAGGTTGTTCCCCTCATCTCTCATCTCTCCACGCCTCACGACCTACCTAAAGGCGAGGGCGCCGCCGCCGCAACCCCGACCGGAGATGCTCCAGCGTTTTGACGCGCACGGCCGTCCCCCGCCGGCATCTGCGCCCCGTACGCCGGCATGCTTCGGGATTTCCCGGCTTGCGTCGCCTGTGGATCGAGGAGCGGGAGGCCCGGAGCGCCTGTCATCCTTCAGAAATTCCCCATGGCAGAGACGGTGCGATGGTAGCTGACTTATATGGTCGGCCTCTGTCGATGTGTAACGGCAAACTGGTCCGGTGAGTTGATCTGACTGATGGGAAGTACGGTGCATCGCCGCCCTGCTCCGGTAAATGTTCTATGTAGACTCCAGGCAGGCAGTATAGTTCTCGTAGATCTGTTCGAGGAGCATCCCTCTATGGCGTTGACCGCCACAGATCTGAAGGTACCGGTGGGCGACTCAGATCTGCAAGGAGACGTGCGGACCTCCATTACTAGACCCACGGCAAGTGTCTGATGCATGCTATCGGCGATGTGATTCAGCGATGTAATTTTGTGCTAATGATGCGGCTGCGGTGGCACGTTGGCCCGGATCTAGCTTTCTCATGTACCCATCCCTGCCTGGTGCAATTGTTAGTGATGCCGCTGCAAAGCCCGGCCTAGATCTGTTATAATATATGTTGGTCTTTGCTGATGAAGGCAGGAGTCTGCTCAGATGCGTGATACAGGAGGATGACCTCGGCTTGCAAGTTTGTTTGGTGTGCATTGGTTGTAGTTATACTGCCTCGAGGGCCTTGGAAGCACCAGGATGATGCGATGGTTGCCAGAGGAGATCAATTGCTTCACTTGAAGGTTGGGCAGGCCGTTGATAAAACAGCACCAAGTTAAGTTGAATGTTTTGTCGATAAGTCAAGTTACTAATTGATTATTATGTCTGACGACTTAAACTTGTCTGTGACGGCTGTTCAGGTAATTAGTTGAATTATGTACATTGTGCTGCTAGCCGTTGTACAATAATTATTGGGAGTTATAATGTGTACCATTGAAATTTTGTTGTATCTGCTATACATGTCTATTATTTCAAAATAAGCTTTTCATATTCATGATATGCAATTGTAATATTTATCATGGAAATTTTTGGTGTGCACTGTTTGATTAAACGGTGGCTTAGAAATTTATACAACTAGCAAATTTAACACAGAACAATATTGCTATCATACAATTGTAGTATTTTATATGAGTAGCTATTGAGCTAGTCATGGACACGAGTGCGTGGAAGTTAGCTATCCAAGTGCTAGAACCATGAGTTGGTTTCGAGACCTTATGCGTTTCAGCTCTACCCTACACCAACTTGTACTAAAGGCTCTGTTGTTGTTGTTACACAATCATCATAATTTCTATGTGTGCAGCCACTAGATAGTTATTATGTGAAATTTCTAGTGTATATCATTGCAAATTTAGTTGTACTTGCTATCGATGTCTATAGTTCTATATTGATGAGAAAAATGTTGTACCGATTCATAATATGCAATTCAAAATCTCATCATCGAAAATTTTGTATACATCATTTGCCAAAATGATGGCTTGAACATGGTTACTTGTTATTCATGTAACTAGCAGAATTAACCACAAAACTATACTGCTGTTGTACAAGATAATGATTGTGCAGTTATCATACATTTACCGTTGATTTTCTATGGTATTGATTTTTTTTGCGTTATGTCTATACAATTAGTTGTACACAATTAATTTTTCTATACCAGTACGTATGAATTATCTTTCTATACTAGTAATGCCTAGGACCACCTCCTACCACTAATTTTTTAATCGGTTGAGCAATAGTACTCCATTATACGTCCCTATTTCTATAATTGATTTGTTCATCTGAGAACTTTATTCTGCAGGTACGCATCGGACTCGATGCCCTTTATCCCTGCGTAACATACAATTGAAGGTATGCTCAATGGCCTTGTTGAATTCCTTGGCATGCTACTTATGTTACTTTATGCTGAATTATAAAAAAATGCACGTTGGCTGTTCTCTTGGTACACCAAATAGCCTTTGTAATCTCATCCAATATCCCTCTACAAATATAGGTATGGGTTTAATTGTAGCTATGGTTTTTTACTCACACAACCTAAGCTATTAGTTTTGTGGAGCATATGCTCGTATATGGTGTTGCTTCGAAAATAAGGCTATGTATATGACACAACACACCATAATTTCTCCTGCATCAAATGAGCTACACTTCAGAGCCAAATCATCTGCATGCATTAGACGCACCTTCTTCATCACCTCCAATATTTTGCGCACACTCATATCAGCAACAAGTATCAGCAACATCCGTGAGTACTCGTGGACATGGGTTTTGAGGTGGAGAGTGCATATTAAGAGATGTGAGGTGCTAGGAATGCTGAAAGTTTGGGACCGCGGTGCTTGGATGCATGCGACACAAGGGGGCATGGGAGCATTGGCGGTCGAGCAACGGGGTTGGGCCAGGTAACGACGCAGGGGATTTATAACCATGGCGTTTGGGGATGGCTATTTGGGGGGAGGGGGGGAGGATCAAGTACCATTTCTTTTCCCTTGGTGCTAGGGCTATGGGACTCAGACCCAAAGGATTAGTGGATTGGGTTTGGTAGGATAGTTGCCAGCTATAACAATAAAAAATCGGATATTTTTGGATACGTCTGGGTAGTAGGGAAACCATGTCTATATCCATATCCAATGACTAATGTCATCTGACTGTGCCTGAAATTTCATTTCAAACTCCTCCATTTGGTTGGAAAATGTGTACTATCTTCAACCTTACCCACATACTTTGGCATTTATCTTTTGGGACTGGCTAGGGGTCGATTTTTTTGAAACGTCCGACGTGAATCCAATGGCTAGATGGCCTTGTTCGACCTCCCGATCTCATCCACCAGTTGAACCGCTTGGCTGGCAAGCGCACATGTACCAGCCTTGCCACCCCATCCCCCCCTCACTGTCGCCGCTCGGCCATCCCTCTAAACTGGCGAACCACCAAAATTTTCTAGCAAGCCTACACCTTGAACCGTCTGTTTTGGGCTCGCAACGGCTCATTCCTTGCCAAGGCCGCCCTTGCCGGCGTACCTGGACCTTGCTTTGCTCGCGACGGCGCCACCGACCTAGTTGGCGGCCTTGGTGCTCCGCGTGCCTCCTTCGTTCCCAATGCAAATCGACTGACCCAAATTTGAAATTTAGGCAGCCTACTTCTAGCAAAATTGTTAAAATCAATTTTATACTAAAATTTGTTTGAATATAATAAGTGCACATGATTGAGAATTTCTAATTATGAAACATTTCTACCTCTGCACTCACGTAATATCTATCCTAAGGATATCCTATTGTTCCATATTTTTTTTAGTATAAAATAATGGTTAGTTGTCAAATGCTCCCTCCGTTCCTAAATATAAGTCTTTTTAGAGATTCCACTGCGGACTACATACGGATGTATATAGACATATTCTAGAGCATAGATTCACTCACCAGCTCCTGCAACTCTAGAATTTGTCACTCCACAAGCAGGTGATGATGATCGACTTGATGCTAGGTGATTGGAGAAGAACCACCTCCTTGACTCGTGTTGTGCAACCTCGATGTCGAGTTACAGTCCTCTAGCACAGGGGAGCTGGGCTTCTTCGCAGAATCTGAGAGAGAAGGCGTGGCAAATAGCCATGTGCGAGGGAAGTGGACGCGGTGGAACAAAACAAGACATGGGATCTCGTCGATCTACCACATGGCCGTCGACCAATAGACCTCAAATGGGTCGATAAATTGAAGAAAAATGAAGGTACAAAGCATGACCGGTCGACTGAGGTTTTGTCCCGTAGGCCGGCATTGACTTTGAGGATGTCTTTGCGCTTATCGTTGACGTGGAATGCACTTGGCTGTTGGCCTATCACTCACATGGAATCCACTCCGGCTATTGCTTGCTTTGGCTGCCTAGGAGGTGTGGCTCTTACCACTACATGGACCTTAAATCAGCCTTCTCAATGGAGAATTAGAGGCAGAGGTTTATGTGAACCAGCCACCTGGCTTCATTGTCGCTGAAGAATAAAGAAGTTTCGTGGCTACGTAAGGCCCTCTATGGCCTATGGGAGGCTATGTTTTCAAGGCGTCCAGGCGCTTTAAGGCGCTGGGGGGGCGCCTCAACGCCTAGGCGCTCAAAGCGTGAGGCGAGGCGACGCCTTAGACACTTATTATTAGGCGCTAGGGGTACTAATATGGCAGCCATGAGTGGACATGTAACTGATTCATACCTTGAATTTCCTGGTTGTTGAGCCCACATAGCATCCATTCCTCCCATCTTGTTTCCCATTTCTGCCTTCCACAATAGAAATCTGCATAAAGATGAACATATATCATATATGGTTAAAACTAAACTTAATTAATAGATCACCATTGGTAAAAAAACAGAGTAGATGACAGAGCAAGTGCAAAACAAGATGACAAACATGAGTGCATTACATATTACATAAACTTGGCCGGAGAGGGGGATGGCCGGCGGAGATGGATCTTGGCCGGAGAGGGGAAGGGCCTGCGGAGGAGGAGCTTGGCCGGACAGGGGGAGGCCGGCGGAGGAGGAACGGATCTGGGCCGGCGGCGTGAGAGACTGAGAGGAGAGAGCTCCTCTCTCTTTTCCCCTCGATTTGGAGTCACAGGTGTGTTCCCCTCTCTCTCCTGCCTCTGTTTACCCCCTCTCTCCCGCCCAATTTCTCTTCCCTCCCGCCAATTCCTCTTTCTGGCGCGCGCCAGCTGCTGGTTCCCGCTCAACCTGCCCGCGCATGTCCAGGGCGTCCAAAATCAAGCAAAGCGGCGCCTTGGACGCCTAGGCGACGCCTTGGACGCCTCAACAGCACAAGGCGGACGCCTTAGACAAAAAACTAAAGCGACGGCGACGCCTTGACGTTCGCGAGCGCTCTGACGCCTAGGCGTCGCCTAGGCGACGCCTTGAAAACATAGCTGGGAGGCACCGTGAGCTTTGAACGCGGCGCTTGACTGCATGCTTAAGGGCATTTGCTTCAAATAGAGGGCGTCAGCACGTGATCTACCAGCGCATCTTTGGTGGTGAAATTCAATCATTGTAGGCTATGTAGATGATCTGATCATCTCTAATTCGCCCAAACGAGGACTTGAGAGCTTCATGCATGAGATGGAATCAAAATGCTAGGTGAGTGACCTTTGCCTACAAACAACAACAACAACAACAAAGCCATAAGATGGGGTAGGCTAGAGTTGAAACCCATAAGATCTCGCAACCAACTCATGGCTCTGGCACATGGATAGCAAGCTTCCATGCACATCCTTCACCTTGGAGAAATGATGGTTGCAATCTTGCTCACACTCCAATGGAGCAGCCTTATGTTGTCCAGCACAGACAACAAAAGAGTTGGACACTATGAAGTACCGGTGGATTGTTAGCTATCTTGTCCACACATGGCCAGACCTAGCCTTTGTTGGGTTCGAGGGTTCGTCAGTCGATTCATGAAGCGGCTCATAGGGAGCACATGATGGCAGCGAAGTGAATCTTTCGCTATGTCATGGGCATGATCTACTATGGTTCACGCTATAACCGGAAGACAAAGGAGGCACGACTAATTGGTTACTGTGACAGTGACCTCGCCGGTGGCATTGATACCAAAGAGCACTAGTGTTAAATTGTTCTTCCTCGGCAACTGCTTGGAGTTGGCAATCTCTCAAAGCTTGCACATTCTTCCTGTGAGTCAGAGGCAGAGGCAGAGTATGTGGCAGCCACAACTGCTGCAGTGCAGAGGATTTTGCTTGGAGAAATCTGCCCTGGCTTTAGCCAAAAATCCAGTCTCCCATGAGCGCATCAAACATGTTGATCTTCGATTCCACTTCTTTAGATGGAAGCATCAGCCCCAGCCACATCAATACTTCAGACCAACTCGCTTACATTTTGACAAAGTTGCCAGGGCTAGTAAAGTTTCAAGAGCTGCGTGCCAATTTTGGATACTCAAGTAGATACACAAGGATTACTGAAAAAGGCTTTCGCCCCGCTTTATATATAAAGCAAAGATCAACCATGGTCCAAGTACAAACGCACCCCACGACAACACACGCACACACCCAGGGTGGGATACATAGGCGCTGAGCGCAGCAACACCACCCCTAACACTACAGGAGCAATCGGGGTCCTCCACCATGAACACGCCACCGCGAAGAGATGGAGCCGCATATGATGAACCGTGTGCATCAAGGCAGCGCCTCCAAGAAGGTTATGACGCCAATGCGCCGCCACCACCCGACTCGGGGGTCAGAGTTTCCCTTGGAGCAACACGATGACCGATGGGCCGCCGCCAAAGGAGCCCAGCCGCCGTCGTGAAACAATCCGAACCACCACCATGAGCTACCACCACGCTGTGACAGCCCACATCACCGCCGAGACCCCGAGGAGCAGCCCCGAGTCGCCTTGCAGCAGCTGCGGCACGCCGCCGAAGACGCAGCGCGCCCTGCGGCCATGGACGTTCGACGCCCCTCCACCCCTAAAGGAGCAGCCTGGCTGCCCGCCACCCCGCCACCACCTTAGCCAGGCTGCCGCCACCACCCACACGCCTTTCGCCGCCATCGCCCAGATCTGGGATGGGGGGGACCAGATCTGCCGCCAGCGAGGCCCCCACCCCCCGGAGCCCCACGAGTCACCGCAGGGAGGGGGAGCAACACCAACGGGACGCTAGGCCGTCAAGGGGAGGAGGCAGGGCCCGGGGAGGGACCGACGCCGGCGCTGCGAAAGGTCGCGCCCCGCGATGTACACCTCCAGCGCGCGGGAGAAAGAGGCCCCGCCGCCGCCTACGCCACGCGACCTTTGGCCGGCGACGCCACCGGCGGCGGCAAGGGGAGGGAGACCGGGGCGGGGTTCGAGAAGAGGCGGCGCTAGGGTTGGCTCCCGGAGTTGCCTGCTGGAGCGACTCGGGAGCGACTCACGCGAGATCTATCGATACACAAGGATTAGTGGGAGAATGTTAGAATAATCCTTGTCCTGTAGTATAGTAGTATAGGCTGGTTAGTTTTCCTTAGTAAAGATAAACTTGCTATCCTGTAGCAAGCAAGTCATCGTCGTTAGCACCAGGCTGTCACTGTGCTGTCAGGTACAACCGTTAGTCTATAACAGACCATGTACCTCGTATGTATATACTCCCTCCGTCCGGAAATACTTGTCGAAGGAATGAATGCATCTAGACATATTATAGTTCTAGATACATCCATTTTTATCCATTTCCGTGACAAGTAATTCCGGACGGAGGGAGTACATCTATGCAGCATGAACTGCAGTGCCTTTCAGCAGCCTAAAAATAGAGTCCAAAATAAGAAACTGTGCTCTTGCTACTAACACACATTGTGACTTTCAGTAGACCACCATCAATTTTTGTCGCACAAGTGTACACCAGTTTCAAGGGATGATCTGACGTATCATGAATAGCATACAAATTAATATCATAGGAATGCTGGAATCACAAGTATAGTATCACACCATTCAATTC